ATTTGTTAAACCCGGCTTTTGCATGTCCTATGCAACCTATTTGATGGTCGATGCACGACGGAGGACGCACGACGGGCGACGCACGACGGGCGACGCGCGACGGCAGATATGGAATTCCATAGCGATGTTGATACGACAAGACTTTCTACGTGTTTGCTGTTCTTACTAGGTTGTTAAATTACTGTTACTTAAATTTGAAGCCACTTCAACCCTTTGCCACGAAGACCCTACGACGTTGCTATTAGTTCCTAATGAGTTTTTACTAGAATTTAAAAGATCCCATTGCGATGGGCCACGCTCTCCCGAGTTTTTGATACATAGTAAGATTGTGTTTGAGTGTAATGGGGGTTGAAAGTAGGCAAATATAGGTTTGTTCGTTAGTCGCCTTTAATTCTTAAACATTCTATCTAAAATTCGCCAGAATGACGTACAGAGAATTTTTGAAAATGATAAATTGTAAATCGTAAATGAAATGTAAATCAATAGAATGTGCAGCGTTACGTTGTCTGAGTATTACCATCTTTTGGTAGAACAACGCTCTGTATCCTGGTGACTACGTCATTCTTGGTCACCTCTGCGTAGAACACACCCGTCCTGTCCAGACCTCCTTCCTCTGGCAATTGAAGCAATCTCACTGTACATCCCAACGATGAATCCACTATCTCGCCTGAACCTGATGGAAGTCCAGTTGTGACTTGGCGACCGAATGAGACATTAGACGCAAAATCGTCTGGTCCTCTGTACACTGCGATTACTGAATCGTCATCACCAGTTGGACCAATGAGAGCAGGGTTGACAACCACAGTGAAATCCACAGAGTTAACTGCAATGGTAAAACAAACAAATCTTTGTAATTGCTGGGTGTTTCTGACAACTGTATTAATTTAAGAATAAAACAAATAAAATAATGGAGCAATGAACAGTGGCGGACTGGTGACCGTTTATAGAGCAAAACCTTAATTTACGACAATCAGGATTTTCGGTTATGGACAGCTGATAACCACTCCTTGATTTACTAGCAGGTGAATAAAATTCTTTCAATGAATTTTTAATGAACATTA